CGCAGGTTTGCCCACTTACAAAGAATGCTTATTTTTCCTCATCAGATGGTTATCAATTTTTATAAATTCATATGATGTGATTTTCTGGAATTTTCTTTGGGATTCTGTCTTTCACTGTTAGAATGTACATATGATTAAAGTTATAGATCGTTGCATTCTTTGTAAGTGGGCAAACCTGCAAAATCAGCAAGGGCTCAAATACTTATTTATCCCACTGTATATGGGAGCTGAAAAACAAGTCCCATGGGCCCAGCTGTTACGGACCCTGTGGTGGTTTGAGGAAAGACGCTGAATCTTCGCTGTTCAATGGTTAAAGTTTGAAAAACTGCTGAGTGAAAACAGTTAAAGTTTGACCAGAAAAATGGGCCAATTTCCTCCTCCACTAGTTCGAAGGTTCACGAATCCCTCTTGTGTCATCTGAAGAATCCTCCTTTAAGTGCTTGCTCAGTAAAACTCTGGAGATATCATTAAAGCTTAACCCAGGCTTTTTTACTCCTGAGACATATCTGTGTCATAAAGTTCTACATCTCACAAAGTGAGGAGCCACCTTAAAGGTGAAGTGCTCACCTGAAGCCCCTTACTGCCAACAGAGCTGAGGATCCCCACAAAAACCTGCCTGTAAGGTGACTGATGCTTAAAAAGGAGTCATATTATACCCTATTTCATCAAGTTAAACTAGTTCCCGGGTGTCCTAATGTAAAGAAAATTCCAGAAAATCACATCATATGAATTTATAAAAATTGATAACCATCTGATGAGGAAAAATAAGCATTCTTTGTAAGTCGGCAAACCTGCAAAATCAGCAAGGGCTCAAATACTTATTTCCCCCACTGTATTATACCCTATTTCAACAAGTTAAGCTAGCTCCCTGGTGTCCTAATGTAATGTCTGTGACAAGCTTTGGTCAGAATCCCATAAGGATGAAGCCCAATAGCAGTTCAGTCCCCCTGCCTAACCCTAACCCTAACCCTAACCCTAACCCTAACCCAAAACAGCCCCGTTCAGAGCGCTCGCTTTGGAGTGCCTGTCTCTTTAAATGCAAATGAGACACAGGCCATCCACCCACTTCTTCAGGGAGGTGTGCCCACGTCGGCACGCTAACG